CACAAACAGATTGGAACATTGGAGACTCCCCTTGACATAATCAGAGGATGATCTCTTGTCTTGTGTACAAAGTGGAGAATAAGCATCAGTATTTCTGATGATGTAGCTTGAGTCATGAATTTTCATGTTTAGAAGTCACAATACTGAAGAGCGGGTTCTAAACTGAATTGCTTAGAAGCTAAATTACTAAAGTTCGAGTTCTAGACTGATTTATGTAGATGTGTGCAACATTAAAAACCGAATTCTAGACTGAAGTATCTAGAAATCTATATAAAAATCACTTTGAAACACTTGGGTTAGCATCAAAAAGATTAGTAGATATAGCTTTAATGCGCCACTCATACTTTTGCTTCGAAACCCATTTCCAGACAAATTTCACATTCACAAAGTATGATTCTTCTTTCTTTTGAAAAATTTTATATGAAAGATTTTTCTTTTCAGCACCAGAACCATAAGAAGATTTAAATTTATGTGAAAAAAGATGAAAAAGATTTGAACGTCTTAGATCTGATTTGCTCTTTGCATTTGGCATTGATGGCGAAATAACTATAACCACAGAAGTTGCAATGCAGATGTTTTGGGGCTAAGGAAAGTGTATCTGAATGAGTAAAATGTTTTGAATTTTTTAATTCAACATTCAGATTACATTTCCTTTTTTAAAAATAAATCACACTTGCAACTATTAGGCTTCGCATTTGAAATCTTTGTAGAAGATTTGGTTTTGAAAAAATTAGCACTTTCTTTCTGCAAGTCATCTTTCTTTCTCAATATATAGCCAACATCTTTCATATGTTTCAACCAAAGGGCCTTCAGCCTAGCGGTATCGTAGTCCTTGGCCTCCTAGGAGGTCAAGGGTTCAAACCTCACCAACGGTGAGGAGGGTGTGTGAGTTTATTTGTTGCATTTGCCGTATATAATCAATATATACTTCAAAAAAAATCTTTCATATGTTTCACAGATAAGAAATTTGAATTTACAGAGGATTTGATAGTTGAACACCTAGACATTTTAGATTTTTCAGATTTTGGAGAAGGCTCAAAATTAATTTTTAGACTTTAAGCTTGAAAACTCTCCAACTTCAAAAATACTTTCATCAAAATGATATTATCAATAATAGTGGATTTGATTTAAGGATCAAATTGAGGAATCACTGAATTTTTTGAATCTGAACTTAAAGGTTGTTTAATAACCTCCTCAAGCTGCACAATTTGACTCATAAACTTGGTTCGTTCATCAAAACTGGAATTTAAATCTTTTCCGAGATCCTGGATCTTTTGTAGATTTGACTCATGCAATTTATCTTTGCAAACTAAACGCATGGTCAATTTAGAAATTTCATCATTAAGCTCTTTGACTTTAAGAGAAAATTCGTTTTGAGCTTGTCCCATAGATCTTTTCTCGGATTTTAATTCCACCTCAAGTTCAGAGATTTGCTTCTTTAAAGCAAATTTTTTAGCATTTGAATCAAATTCAGGATTAGAATGAATTACCCAATCATTTTGCTCAATAATCTTTTCATTTAAGTTAGAATCATAAATCACCTCTGTTTCAAATTCAAAGTCTGAGTCATAAAGCACATTTTAAAAAATATCAAACTTTAAAGAATCTTCATTTGTGAAACAGATTTTGAAGAAAATTTAGAATTTTCTATGGGATAAAATGTATCAACATGAAAATGAGAAAATTCGAGTTTTCTAGTTGCGTAAGTAGAGTTTAGATCATCATATTTTAATACCACAGTTTTGAAATTTGGTGTTTTAGGACTTTCTTCATTTGATTTGTGCAAATCACATTTGAAGATATAGATGATTTAGATTCAGACTTAATAAAAATTTATTGAACAGAAGGAATTGAGAATTTCGCTGACCTCCTTTCATTAAAATCATATGAGGATTTTGGGGCCTTTTCAGAACATCAGACTCAATAAAACCTAAACCCATCTGAGGTTTATAAAATCGTGTATCTTTGGGTTTATGCGTGAAGTTTTCAAATTCTACTCAGATTGACCTCTTTTGAAATTTAGATCTTCCAACTGTTTAATTTTATCATATAAATGACTTATTTTTTCAAAAATCATATCAAATTTCAATTGGATGTTAACTCTCTCACCCTCTGATTTATTCAAACTACTTTTCAAAGTGATGATTTTATCTTGAAGATCATATATAAGATGATCTTTTCCCTTTTTAAGCTTTTCTTTCTCTATTTTCAAACCTTCACTTAAGCTCTTATAACCTGCACTTTCAGTTTGAAACTTAGCATTAGAGATCTTTCAACCATAATCTTTTTCTTTAAATCTTCAAAATTCAAGGATTCAATCTCATAATAAAATGACATGAGTAACTTAGATCTATAAACCATGTTTTGAGAAACCTTTGACATTTTAAAAATATAGACTTAAAATGATCTTTTTCATAATATAACTAGGACTTGATTGAAATCTTCAAGAATAATGTCCCCTCCACTTCCCTTAGAAAAATAGCTTCATCGGACAAGACTTCATCGCTTAACAATAAAATAAGCACTATCCGGACAAAGAATAAATGTTATCCAGACAAATGAATTGTACTTCACCGGACAACAAAGAAAACAAACCCTATCCGGACAACAAAGAAATTACCACTATCCGGACAACAGAGAATTTTGCACTTCTCCGGACAAGGGTATGTCCGATGAGATAGGTACCTGGACAATGAAGTGTCTGATGAGAGCACTTGTACAAATTTGAATCAATAAAATCAATGTATCCGGACATAATATGATCAACAAACAGGTATCCGGACAAGATTAATAAGGAGGTCTCCAGACAAAGCTTATCCAGTCAAAACTTAAACAATGATCAAATTAAAATTGTCTAAGTCTCAAGAACTGTCCGATGACAAGAACTCTTTCATGAGTAAATTCAACGTCCGATGAGTAAGCTCTTATCGGATGATGAACGTATTCAATGTCTGGTGAGCAAAAATCTTAAGTCCGGAAATTCAAAAAATAGCTCAAAATCAACCAAACACTGCAATTTGATGCAATTTACTTATACAAATCGATTCGAAATAAGTGCATAAACACATTGAACACAATAATTGCAACAAAAACAAATCAAAATAGCTCAGTTTGATCAAAATTGTCCAAGAACAATAGCTAAAATTTTCAAACTCAGAAAATTACAAATTCATCAATGAAATATAATCCAAATCCAATCTTGTCAATTATGATTAAGCTCTGATACCAATTGTGATCCCAGATTCAAGTCATTAACAATAATTCAATCAACAATCAAGAACATAAAGATGTTTTGAATAAGTCGGCTTGTTTGATTATTCCAAAGTGTAAGTTCAATGTTATTGAATCTCCTTAATCTCTCTCAATCTCTCAATCTAACTCTCAGTTATGATTAACCGCTCACTAACAATACTAACCACAAGCTATTTGTACCTATTACCATAAAAGAAAACTAAACTAACCTTCTAAAAATAGAAAGTCAAACACTAACAATTACAAAGCATGATAAAACATTTTAAGCACCGGGTTTTGAATACAACAATTATGTTCCAACATTAATATAACCAACAAAATAAATCTAAGAAATCTAAAAATTTGAAGAAAAAAAGAATTATAAAAGAACTTTTCCACAAAGTATCACATAAGAAACTTCATATTTTACTTTTAGATTTATATAAAATAATGATGTCAAATGCTCAATTAAGGACAACTCTGGGTTGGAAAATTTTGTTATCATTTTAGAGAAAATAGATGGGATAAAAAACGGTATAGAAAGATGAAAGGTTTAGAACATTTATGAGTTAATGAAAGACAATTAATATAACCGACAAAATAAAATCTAGAAAATCTAAAAATTTGGAAAAAAAATTATAAAATAATTTTTCCACAAAGTATCACATAAGAAACTTCATATTTTACTTTTACATTTATATAAAATAATGATACCAAATGCCCAATTAAGGATATCCTTGGCTTGGAAAATTTTGTTATCATTTTGGGGAAAATAATGAAATACACATTTTTCATTCACGGGTAGAAAAATATTTAACTTATTTAACCTTTCATAAATACAAAACAATAGGAAAATATCTTTCAAAATCATCTTGTGACAATGTGCCACACCATTTATTGTAAGTTTATTTTAATTAGTAGATGGAAAAATAAAAAGAGTATAATGAATACCCCTAGGAAGTTATCTAATATGAAAGTTAATGCTAATTAAGTTGGAAGTGAAATTATCAAAGGCTCCTTCTTATAATGAAATACATATTTATCATTTAGGGGTAGAATAACCTATAACTTATTTAATATTATAAAAACATGATTTATTTAATATTATAAAAACATTGACAAATCATGGAGGAGCACATAGAATGGTTTGTAGGTTTCACCTCCAAGAATGAAGATGAAAAGATTGGAGGTTAAACTTTTTAAAATTGCCAAAACAATCATATGGTAATGAATTTCATGTTTTAAAAAATATGGGATGGAAAAGTCTTTTATATATCAAATATTTTTTTAAATAAAAAATCTAAGAAAAAAGAATCATAGACTTCTTATGTTTAGAGAAGGACACCTCATTACGTTTGGTTTACCCTCTAATATATATACTAGTATTGCAACCGCATGTTGCGCGGTGGCGATAATATCATCTTCAAAATGAATGCTATAGACTAAAATTTGAAGTCGTCTTCTAAACAAATTTTAGGAAAATGTGTGTGACAACTAATCATTAACATTAAACATTTTTAAAAGAAGTTGACAACCATCTTAGAATCGTATGCTAATTTAAGTTCTCTAACTATGCTCGAGAACGGTGTTGCAATGTACTCTGCAAATGTTTGACTAATGTTAGTAGTTTGTTTAACATGAAATCACATTTTTAATTGATATCTCATCTAAGGTGACAAAGTCACGATTTTAATTTCTATAAAAAATGTAATTGAAATCACATTTGAAGTTATGAAAAAAAAAACATTCTATAATATTAGTGAAAATTTGAACGGTACATAAGATATAGCAATAGTAGTGGAAGCTCAAGACGATGCATGAAGAATCACATCACCAAACTAAGATAATGGATGTTCCCCCTTAAAAAAATAAAATTAATATCAAGTGGGGTCGATGACCCACATATCAGATATTAAACTGATAAAAACAAGTACTACACTTTACTGTAACCTTCTATAATATTTGAATTATAAATTAGAGAGATTTGTCAAGCCTTGATAGTAGTAACACTAAGACAACGGATAAATAACTACATCACCAAGTAGTATAATGGACATTCCCATATAAAAAAATAAATATCAAGTAAGCTGAAGAATCACATATTAGATATCAAACTCAGAACATATAATATACTTGATTTAAAAAAAAACCTAAGATTCATGACAGATATATAAATTAAAAACATGATCTATATTTGATCTTAAACAAAAGGTCGAGATTCGAGAAAAATATGTTTGTTCAATTTTTAATCATTTCTTTTTGTAGCAATCTCCCTCTTGTCACTTTCATTCCATCATCCAATGTGGGATGCAAGCAATATTGAGAAAAAAGTTGGCCCTTTTGTTTTTGTATCCACCTCCCACATGCCTCTTTCATTCTTTGATCTAATGTGTGATGCAAACAATAATGTGAGAAAAATGATTTATAATGCTTAGAAGTGATCACCAGATTATCCATGGTTATTGTTTTTACATGTATAAAGATATAAAAATTTAGATTATAGATATATAGTTATTGTTTTTACAACTATAATTTCTACTAATTTTACGATGTTGATTTATTGTCAACTTTACGTTATTTTTTATATTAGTTTTTGGTATATATTTTTTTTATAAAAGATGGTTGTCCAAAAACAGTTCAACCTAAAAGTTACACAAACTCTCTTAGTTTTGAAAGATATCTAACTCCTTTTAGTTATTCACTTAATTTGTATTATTTAGTTGGTTTTGATTTCAACCATGGTTATATAAATTGTATTATTTGTTTGGTTCATCCTTTAATATATTATATTGATATTGATATTGACTGATGATTGATCCCAAACTCATTTTTTCCTTCTTTCAGATACTTACCTCCATCTTCGAATATATCACATTCTCATGAACTTGCGGCAATACCTTAACATGTTGCTTCTTTATATATAGGCTAAGCCCATATTTTTCATTAATAAGGTCTATAACCGATGCGTACTATTGATCGACCCCAACATTGAATTGGTTTAATTCAACACGTCATTGGGGGATGTCGGTATATGCCGTAGATGAATGACGATGTTGTGGCTCATACCGTAGTCTATGACAAGTGTGCACTGCAAATGATTGATATGCTTCTGATGGTTGGATGTCATCGTCATCATCTGATTTGTGACCCATCTCTTGATCGGGGTCCGGCTATCCAAAATAATTACTAACCAAAAATTCCCTGCTTTCAATCCACCATTGGGCCGACTCCTCCAAATTTATCGTCACCAACGAGTTCAGGGGGTGAAACGCGTGCTAAAATTATATAAATCCATATAATTTTTTTAACATAAATAACAAAACATTTTAAATTTCAAATGTGTATCTTTACCTCCGGATCGAATGATAGACTTCCAGATTGAATTAATTCCTGGAGCAACACCTGTTGCACGTGCACCATATCGATTAGCTCCTTCTGAGTTAAAATAATTAATATCTCAATTGAAGGAACTGTTAGATAAAGGATTTATCAGACCAAGTACTTCTCCGTGGGGTGCACCAGTGTTGTTTGTGAAAAAGAAGGATGGATCAATGAGGATGTGCATTGATTATCGGGAGTTGAATAAATTGACAATCAAGAATAAGTATCCTCTCCCAAGAATTGATGACTTGTTTGATCAATTGGTTGGAGCTACTTATTTTTCAAAGATTGATTTGCGGTCTGGTTATCATCAATTGAAGATCCGAGATGAGGATGTGTCTAAAATAGCATTCCGTACACGTTATGGTCATTATGAGTTTTTGGTGATGCCATTTGGACTCACAAATGCGCCTGCAGCATTTATGGATATGATGAATAGGATGTGTAGTCCCTATCTGGATAAATTTGTGATTGTTTTCATTGATGATATTCTGATATATTCCCGATCAGAAGAAGAACATATACATCATTTGAAATTAATTCTGGAATTATTGAAACAAGAGAAATTGTATGCTAAAATGTCAAAGTGTGAATTTTGGCTGCAAGAAGTTCAATTTCTGGGGCATGTTATCTCAGAAAAAGGGATTAAAGTGGATCCAATCAAGATCGAAGCTATTAAGAAGTGGGAAGTTCCTAAGACTCCAATAGAAGTCAGAAGTTTTCTGGGATTGGCTGGGTATTATCGTAAGTTTATACAGGATTTCTCTCGTATTGCTACTCCGTTAACGAAGTTGACCAAAAAGAATGTGAAATATGAGTGGGATGAAGCACAAGCTCGGGCCTTTCAGATGTTAAAAGATAAACTGTGTAGTGCACCAATTCTATCTCTACCAGATGGAGCGGAAGATTTTGTGGTATATAGTGATGCGTCAAAGATGGGTTTGGGATGTGTACTAATGCAACGTGGAAAGGTAATAGCTTATGCTTCCAGACAGTTGAAAGATCATGAAAGACAGTATCCTACTCACGATATGGAGTTAGCGGCAGTAGTCTTTGCTTTGAAGATATGGAGACATTATTTGTATGGAACGAAGTGCCAAATTTTCACAAATCATAAAAGCTTGCAACATTTATATCATCAGAAAGATCTGAATATGCATCAGAGAAGATGGTTGGAATTGGTGAGTGAATATGATTGTGAGATTTTGTATTATCCAGGAAAAGCAAATGTAGTGGCCGATGCGTTATATCGACAAGAGAAAAGTGGAACGATCAAAGCTACAGCTTTACGAGTTGAGTTATTACCCAGTACTCAAGATGAGTTACAAGAATTTCAAAATGAGGCAATAAAAGAGGATAAGATCAAACGTGAAAGACTGGGTGGATTAATATCTGATTTGGTAAGAGATGATATAGAATTTTGGAGGTTCCAGAATAGAATTTGGGTACCATGTTATGGTGATCTCAGAAAGCGTATCTTTGAACGAAGCTCATCAGTCACGTTTTACGATACATCCAGGTACAAATAAAATGTATCAGGATTTGAGACAACATTATTGGTGGCCAGGTATGAAGAAAGATATTGCTAAACATGTTGAACAGTGTTTGACTTGTCTTCAAGTAAAGATTGAACACCAGYGTCCTTATGGTAAGTTGCAATCTTTAGAAATTCCGGTTTGGAAATGGGATCATATTACTATGGATTTCATATCCAAATTGCCAAGAACATTGAAGGGGTATGATGCAATATGGGTAATAGTAGATCGGTTGTCTAAATCTGCACACTTCTTACCTATGAGAGAGTCATACTCAATGGAGAGATTGGCAAAGTTGTACCTTGATGAGATAGTGACACGACATGGTGTTCTGTTATCAATTGTTTCTGATAGAGATAGTCGTTTCACTTCTATGTTTTGGAGGAGTTTTCAGAGAGAAATGGGTTCACAAATAAAGCTAAATACAGCTTATCATCCTCAAACTGATGGACAGAGTGAACGAACTAKCCAAACTTTAGAAGATATGTTGAGATCTTGTGTTATTGATTTCGGAGGGTCATGGGATAGTCATTTGGCTTTGGTTGAATTTGCATACAACAATAGCTA